ATAAGTGAACCCTCCGTTGAAGTCTAAAGTGCAAGGGACACTAGACAGAGTCCGCCAATTCAACGTTCAAACAATGAGCAAATATGAATGACAGGGGAACTCACGAGCAACTGCTGTTCTTGTTAATAGACATCAAAAGCTATAAGCAATGCCTGAGACGTTAACGATTCTTATACAGTGCTTGACCGATCTCATGAAATGTTGGCTGAAATTCTGGAATGCGTTTTCGATTAAGAAGAATTACTTAGGTGGGGTTGTAGTATTGATTATCATGCGACATACTCCCATAGTATTTCAGACTCGCCAGAGTGTCGGCTCTTGAATACACTTCTTTTTGACCTCTTGCAGAGACCATACTTGGTAAAATAATGACTACTTAAATAACGGGCATTTTCCACATTTATTTTTGATGGTCTCATAAATTCAAATGTATTTTATAGTAAACATGCACAAAATGTGCTTTATTTACTCATTTGGTAGAAAATCGCATTGTCTTTATATCTAGTACCCGAAGAAACCCTATATTTAGGTTTTAAAAAAGTTTCCCAATTCCCGAATAATTTTGAGCCCGATCTGCCATCGCATTAGCATTTAGCGATTTAAGTCTGCAAGGTGCATTCTTTCCGCGTAGGGAACATCACCTATTCCTCTATGTCTTTAAGAAAATACCATACAGGGTTCATGAAATTCTGCAATGCATTTGGGCTATGTCATAAGGGCTGTGTCATGAGGAGCATTGGTAAACGAAAATGTGCGATACTGTATATATGGACACCACACGGTCTTAAAAATCTCATAATTGAAAACTTTTTAAAACCCAAATATGCACCTTCCTCGGGTATAAAATATAAAGGAAATGTAGTTCTCTGTCAAATGAGTAAAAGAAAGCATATTTTTGTGCATGTTTTCTATAAAATATATTCGAATTTATAAGACCACTGAAAATCAGTGCGAAAGATACATGCAACTTAAGAAGCCATTTTTTGCCGAGTGCGGTTCCTTCAGGAGGTCAAAAAAGAATAAATTTAAGAGCCGACATCTTGACGAGTCAGATATACTAAAGGATTATGCTGCAAGTTAATCAGTATTACAACCTCACCTAAATAATCTTTCCTAATCGAAAACGCATTTCAGAATTCCAGCCAACATTTCATGAGATCGGCCACGCACTGTATGTAAGACTTCAAACAATATGAGGGTCATACACCAAAATCCTGTTTGCAAAATCCGCTCTCGAAGAATTAATTTGCAATTAGCGAATATCCCCATGTAGAGATTTTACATAATGCAGGTTAGCAAATCATCTAACCAAATGATGAAGGCGCCAAATAATTCATAATTACTTGAAGAAAAGGAACTAAGGAAGCCAAAAGACAATCACTTCTACTTCATGTCTATCAAGCAAACCAAGGCCACATATCAGAAGGGCCTAGGACAGGAACGCGAGTCCAATTAACCTGAAGTTTTGTCCTCTGTCTCATAACTCTGTTAGTGGCAATGGTAAATGTTTTTTGCGGACGGATGTGGCATTCATCAGACTGACTCGGTTGCAGCGTCGATGCTTACTGCCCCAATGTCACTCTGATAGGATGTCAAATATCAGCAGTCACAACCGAGCGGATGTGGACCCGGGGCTCGATGACTCGTGCGTAGCTTCTGAATTTTTCTAAGCTGGATGCAGTAGTGCCCGATTGTTGACAACAAATTAAACAACAAGTCCGAGCTTGACCCATTCTATTTGTCGGCAAACTTCCCTCAATTGTGCAGGTCTCGTCACTATGAGACCATCTTAAAAGACGAAACGCGACGCACCATTTGTCCTGTAATCAGATCAGGTCAGTTGTTGCTGCTCTAATACAAGACTGAAGCATAGAATTTTGACTGTTAGATGCGTCTTGACTACTGTATCACTTGCCACATCGCATGAACCCCCGATACACACCTAAAACGCCAAGTAATATGATGCCCTTTTCGCAGTCAATTACTCGCCCTTTCTCCTTTTTCAGAAAATTCGACAGTTACTCGGTTGCGATCCGGGATATAGACGGAATCAGCAATGATTTCATTCACTACTCAGCTAGTTGGATTTTGATGGCAATCATGAACGTCGACTGTCAGCTTCTAGAAAGATGCGTTTTCTCCCCTTTTCTTCATTGTTCTTTCAACATGCATGAATTGCGGCTTCTTTTAACAGCCATGACTTCCGTCTTCTAATTTACCAATAAAAATTCGGTATGTCAGTTGACCTCGCGTTCAATTCCAGAACCCTGCTCGTGGCTTGCGAGTGTTGTAACATCTTTTTTCCTTTCAAAATGAATCTAAAATAGCAGAGCTCTCTTATTTCTACATAATCCTCGTTCACCCGCGAAATGGGTCAATTATTTTTGGAGCGCACTCTTCAGACGATTATATTGAGGAGTGAATGGTCTGGGACAATGGAAGAACCTATGAAAATGCACGAAAGACTACGGTAGGGAGAAGCAGCCCATTTAACTGTCGGTAGACTGTGGATCGTGGCATGTGTGATTGCTGAATAGGGGAGTTTTAAGGGCGGGACAGCATACCAGACAGTAAGTTAACGAAATGCAAGAAAGCACAGAAAGTATTTGGATTTCTCCCGAAAGTCCTATCGTACGCTTTCATACGGCAACGGAAATGAGTGCGGTAATTAGAAAAAACAAGAAGTAAATTTCAAAAAAACAAAGAAGTTTGAGTGATGGCTTGAACTCATGGGAAGTAATTGTTGTTGGCAGTGTAATGTCTGCAAAGGCCTGCGAGTGGATGCCAGGATAAAAGCCCATATGACGTGATCCACAGTCTGGCATCAGGGGCTCCCTGAATCAAGTGCAAATACTCCCAAGGAGCGGGTTTCGGACGACCTATCACTCTTCCAAGGTCTTCTCAATAATATTTTGGAACCCACGGAGGCTACTGAATTGATCAAAGCATTTCGCCTTGGAAAACGAGCAGATAATTTATCAGTGTCTATTCGTCCCCGGCCACTTAAAGTTGTGCTGGCCAGCAGCGACCAAGCCGATCTCATTCACTCCAGGCGATTCAGGGCTAAAGGCTTCAGTCCAGGTGTTTTTTTCAACCGGACTACTCGCCAGCGGAACGGCTCAAACGTCGTCAGCTAGTCCTAGAGCTAAGAAAGAGGCTCAGCGAGGTGGAGAACAATTTCGTTATGTACAACAACCAAGTACGGCGACGTCCGTCACTCTTCCTTTGGACAGGTCCGGTCCGAATGACCGCGCAGCCGACATATTAAGTGAAGACGCCAACCAAAATGTAACCACATCTTCCGTCAGCTGGAAATTGAAATTCTCCTACACCAGCGTGCAGAGTTTGCTATCAAAGTTCGACGAGCTGAAGATCCACCTCTGACGTAATCGCTTTGACAGAAATCTGGCTGACCCAACACGTGGACGACCGTTAGTTGGCCTTGCCTGGCTACCAGATGTTTAGAAGGGATAGGGAAGGGCGTCAGGGAGGAGGCGTAATCACGTATGTGAAAAATGGGATAAATTTATCAGGCAAAACCGATAAATTTTCGTGTAGTTCCAAGGCAATCTGGCTGTCTTTGAAAGCGCCGAGCTCGTCTAGCCTCGATGTCCTGACAGTTTATCGACCGCCGAGACGGGACAACATGGCCGACGCTCGCCTGCTGGAGGAGCTCGAAAAGTTCTCTACGCGGCCGGATATCCTGATCATGGGCGACTTTAACGCGCCTCATATTGACTGGAGCTCGACCCATGCAAATAGCTCACAACAAACCTTCGATGGAAGTTTTCTGAACACGGCACTGAAGTTATTTCTCAATCAACACGTCATGTTACCAACTAGAGTACGCGAAGGCCAACAAGTCACCTGCCTTGATCTTGTCCTTACGAAGTCACAGGGCAGCATTGATGAGGTGTCATGCCTACTCCCCTTAGGTAAAAGTGACCAAGTCGTTCTTTTATGGTATTACTCGTTTTTTTCCATGCCCAGGAAAGCCGTGACAGTTAGAAGAGACCTTTGGCGCGGAGATTTCGACCAAATGAGGGCTGAAATTTCACGCCTTGAGCGGGAGTCCGTATTTGTTGGAAGCATACTCGAGGATTGGCAACGGTTCCGAGAAATTCGGCAAGAGCTGATCGTAAACCACTGTCCGCTTTCACGGAAGAGGTTACCTAACAGACCTCGATGGCTTACGTAAGCCGTGAAGAATGAAGTGAATAAAAAACGAAGGCTGGGGAAAAATCGCTTTCTGACAGGAGTCCCACATCTATATGCGCGTACAAAATTCAAAGAAATCGAGTCAAGGGCCTTATCCTCAATAATAGAAGAGAATTCGAAGGGGATCTGTTTAACCGTGTCGCGGAGAACCCTAAATTATTCTACGGTTACATAAGGCAGTGCACGAGGAACAGGGGCCCACTACCACTGCTAACGACTGCTGAAGGTGAACATCTCACTGAAGACAGAGCGAAAGCTGATCACCTTTCAGAATTTTTTCAGTCTGTTTTTAGTAGCGAAACAGGATTCAACCCTTCGGCCCTTCAACCCTTCGAAGACACCACAATTATGGAGACCGTTCAGTTCACTGAGGATATGGTTCTGACGGAGTTGCTGAGGCTAAAGGAATCCAAATCACCAGGTCCGGATGAGATTCCGGCGAAGGTTTTGAAGGAACTCGCCGGTGAGTTGGCTAAGCCACTCTCTATGCTTTTCCATACATCCTTCGAGGCCGGATATCTGCCACCCGACTGGAAGTCGGCGTGGATTACGCCGCTGTACAAGGGCGGAAGTCGGGTCTCTGCAAACAATTACAGACCTGTCAGCCTCACCTCTATTTGCTGTAAGGTTATGGAGAAGATAATAAAGCAACAACTAATGCAGTTCCTAGAACAAAACCTCTGCTTTCCGATTCCCAGCAAGGATTCCGCAAAAGCAGATCCTGTGTAACAAACTTGCTCTACTATCTGGAACACTGGACTAGGGCTGTTGATAGAGGAGATATGGTGCACGCCATCTATATTGACTTTAAAAAGGCCTTCGACAGTGTGCCTCACCACCGCCTTCTATACAAACTCAGCCGTGCAGGAGTGCGAGGTAAGCTTCTGGTGTGGATTCGAAGCTTTTTACTCGGGCGCTCTCAAGCCGTCCACGTCGGTGAGCAGCAATCTGCCGAGGGTGCCGTTAGGAGTGGTGTTCCCCAAGGCTCTGTTCTTGACTCCATATACGTCAACGACAGCACAAACGAACTGGATTGTGATGTCGCAATGCTTGCTAATGACATAAAGATCTGGAGTACCATACGAAGCGAAGTTGACGAGGCGCGACTGCAGACAAATCTGGACCACCTCGAGCAATGGTCGAAAGACTGGCTTCTACCGTTCAACGTTAACAAGTGTAACTTCCTACGTGTCGGCGGAACCAGTTCTCCTAACCGCACGGTCTACCGTCTGACTGGCAAACCACTGCAAGAAGTCGACGCCCAGAAGGACTTGGGTGTATGGATCACAACCTCGCTTAAGCCTTCGCTGCAATGTTCAAAGGTGGCCAAGTCGGCGATGTCCATTCTATACCTCGTCAAACGGGCGTTCTCCTCCTTTGATGAAAACTGCCTCACCAAGGTCTTTCAGATTGTCGTGCGATCGCATCTGGAGTTTACTATCCACGCATGGAGACCCTGGACCGCTAAAGACTTCGGCATACTCGAAAAGGTTCAACGGCAAGCAACGAAACTTGTATCTGGGTAGTAATCACTACCCTACGAAACACGATTAGCTAATCTTGAACTCTTTCCTTTGAGTTACAGAAAGCTACGTGGGGACCTGATACAAGCTTTCGCATCGTGCGCAATCAGGGGTGCTGCCTCGCATCTGGAGACTTCCTCGGGTTAGCGACTACGACTAACCTTAGAGGCCATCCACTCAAACTGCGTGTGACTGGTGCCCGGCTAGACATACGGAAGTTCTTCTTCCCCAACAGAGTGGTTGCAGCTTGGAATGCCTTGCCTGAGGATGTTGTTATGTTGGGATCCGTAGATACTTTTAAACGGAGGCTAGATCAACATTGGAGCGCGCACCACAATAACGCCGGACTGCGGATACCTTGATAGCCAACGTTAACCATTTAGTGTTATGACGATGCTACTACCAACACTCAAGTAACATATGCCTATGTAATTTATTAATTTTGGACCACGTCGCACACCGCTGCTGCATTCACCACGATGCCTGTAGACTAAAAACGTTTACTTCTTTTCCTGCATCTTAAGCGTGCTTCAACTGTTTGATGCATTTACTCAACAAACTGAGTTCATATGTCTCTAAATTCTGTTAACGCATGTCATTCTGTGCTCAACTGTACAGCATTTCTTTCATATTACTTCCTTTCCATTTTCTCCATATACTTCCTCTGCGTGTAACCAATAGGGATTTCAAAGGTACACACCTACTTACCATGAAATACACTAATACTGAAGTGGCGTCCTTTACCCTACCGTTGCCTAAGAAAGCTAAAAACTCTGTTACCCACGAACCAAGGGCGGCTGTCTGAAGGCCCAGTGTTGATGTAATATGTCATCGGAAGCAGAAATCTTAGAATTCGCCTCGTTGATACGCCATACGGTCTCATCCCCATTCACTGACGATGTTATCTGTCTCCATAAACGTTGAGCTGTCGTACGCATTCTCGGTTTTTTGGTAATGTTTGGGCAATAGTATCTTTTAACCGCACTCCACGATCCCCTGTACTTCCACGTAACTAGCGGTGGACACAGCCTCAACGATTGCTGACTTGACGGGTGTGAAGTCACTCGAAGCAAGGCAAGATAGCACATTAGTGTCTCGACTGCGCGGTATTATGGTGTCCCTTGTGTATCAAGCAGACGCGTTCTACAGTTTGCTGTTATCAGCCAAAGCTGGTTGTGCTTACGAGTATATCAAAGCTGAGAAACACGTCCAGACCCTCTGTAGTTGTGTTCCTGGGATATATTGATAGAACTTAGACTGATCGTAAATTGGCCTAGTGCTGTAATGGTAGTAGATTGGCACCATTAAGGCATCTGAAACGGCAACCAGTTAGTGATTGCAAATACACTCTTTAGTCAGTTGTTTCTTGTATCAGATACTGCGACCGGCAACGTAGTGCTAGATAGGGGCCACCACTGCAGTGGTGACTTGTCCATGAGTTGGAAAGTAACATTAGCAGCACTGGCTTCTTACCCTTCCACGTCCACGTTGAATCAGTGAGAAGACTGAGACGGACTGACTGCCCCAGCGGCTAACCAGGCATTTTGAACACATCTCTCCTGACCCTAACTATCGACTGAGGTTTCTCCGGTTCTCATAAGTGGTATTGAATCGCATCTTAAGCAGGAAAGAATGCCGGAAGTGCGCAATCAGTCTTCAACCCTGTGCCCGTGTAACTCCTGTAGAAAATCACATGCTCAGCCTGCCGGAAATGGGTCACTTCTCTGATAGAGTCGCGGAATCTCCAAATCTCATACTATGGAACACTAGCCATTCAACTCTAATTTACTGGATGTAACCTCGCCGTATCATTTTGTGACTGTCAAAAAGTAGTTCTTGCACTGACGGTTTTGTTCTCAAAAGTTTCCTTCATCACCTATCGACTGCAATTTTCATTACTCCTGAGTTCACATGCGCCTGGTTATTTCCCAGTCCTTACTTATTTTGGCGACCATAAAACTGCTATTATAATGAACTTTTGATAGAGGGAACTGCACTCATTAGGAATTTAATTTTGTCAAAACGTCGAAAAATGATAAGTTTTCTGTGTCCAATCCGTGTATGACCTCATCTCTACGTGGCCTGAACTGACGTAGCAGTCCACTGAACATCATATCGTGACGTGATGACTGAGGCCAGGAAGCTTAGATTCGCAGAGGGCCTTATCCGTTGGTGCATACGCCGGCTTATCTTTTGTCGATTACAGCGTACAAAGTTCTTCCTTACCACCACTACTTAAGGACTTGAGTACTGAATTTTGCGTTTTGACTAAAGATGTTTCTGTTCAACGAGCAGCATTTTATTAGGATTGGAGGATGGAAGCGAGCAGTTCTGTCTTACCCCGGCAGGCGGTCGCATAATGATTAGTGATCTTCGCTGGTGTTCCTTGTCCTGGTCGATAATACTTCTCGACTGTCAACTGCTAATCGCCATGCAACCGTCTGAGAAAGTTTCAGAGCAAAATGGAAGGACCCATTTCCGTCCATAGGAAAAACTGATCAACGTCGCTCCCATGTATTCCTGTATCTTTCTGATAAAAAATGGGGGAATATTAGTCCTGCAGTTGCAGTGATGGAAGAGTTTAACCTAGAAGTGCATCAGCCCGCTGGACCGGATCTCAAATCTGGGGGACGCTAAAGTCCCCGCTTCTATTAGCAATGGTTAATGATGACAAATAAATCAGAAAAGTGTATTTCGCTGTTTTTGCTGATTGCATATAACCTTTACATACATAATTTTTGTTTTTGATTTTTTAAATATTACATTACAGAGTTGGGTCATCATGCGGATAAAAACTTGCATTCATGCTTGCATTATTTAACATTTTTCGTGTTCATTAGGACCTATTTGTATAGCTCCTTTAACATTCATATGCACCATATTGTCTCGCGGTAAATTTTCGCAGTTGCATTATTTGGCACTCAGTGTTCTCCTTTCCCTTTGGTCGCTCGCTCTGCTGTTCCGGACTTCCCTCAAATTTGCAAATGTAGGATTATCTTATTTATTGTCAAAGGCTTTTTGTTTATTCTTCACTTAATATGTCCAATTCCGTGCTATGATTTACCGTACTAACAACACAGGTATTAGCTAAAAGCCCAGACACGCGTGATTCGCCAATCTTATTCCGCTGCTTGACGCAGCTGCGAGGGGTTCGGCTCGTCAGTGGGTCCCCCAGCTTTCCCTGAGTGTTTTCTGGTAAATGAACTCCAGTTTCAACTGGCCTTGTTTAATTTCCGAGGAAATTAATGCACTTTTAGCTAATACCTTTGTCGTTAGTACGGTAAATCATCGCACAGTTCTATACTACTGGCTGCCTATTGGCGGTATGTGAATATCAAGCGGTTATTCCGCAGTAGCTGATGGATTTCAGCAGCAGGAAGAGCCATACAACGGTTGATGGGGGTTGTCCCTGTGTGCCAAGCCTCGATTGTTTCCCTGGCTATGCGGTCGTCTCCCCGGCCCAGAATTTCGGCATGCTGAAAGGCGAACGTGTGTCCGGAATCCGCGCAGTGTTCGGCCACCAGGGCTTGGCACACAGGGACAGTCCCCATCAACCGTTGTGTGGCTCTTCCCGCTGCCTACCAAGCCCTTCGGGCGCAGCTCAGTAAACAAATGAGCAGACGTGCACCCATTCTAAACATGAATCCAGACATGAGCGAGTACATGGCGGATACACACTCAGCCACCCCTCAACCGGGTTCCGACGAAGGCGCAGTCCTCACCACAGCCGCTCCATCTTCTAGTCCGGCGGACAAGAAAACGGACAGTCGTTGCGGCGTAAACAAGATTGCCGGGCTTGGACGACAGCTACGGTCAATGAAGGTACGAACGACGGCCACCAACGTCTCAACGCCGGCCCCCGATGTAGATTGAGTACATTCCGTCACCCTCCCTCCCCCCCGTCCGCCACAGTTCATGTGTGCATGCGGCTGGTGACCACCAAAGCTGATCCACCATCCCCTCATCCGGCGAAAAGACTCTCTAGGACTCCCTCCCCGCCCCATCCTCCCTGCCGCTCTGACTTCATATGTAAGAAAACTCGTCCTGGCATGACTGTCATCCACCTATGAATGCTGTGAGGCGCGATACCACACTCACCTCTGACGATGGAAGTTTGTTTGCTTTTGAAACGTCAGGACAGAAATACTATGGTTTCGAGATCGCCTTTTTTCTCATATACATATTCGTGGGAGAAGGAGTTCAGCGGAAATCTACTTAATGTTTATGTTTTATTGCATCTTTTTCCTTCCCCGTGCGCGGTGATGCCCCACCCCTAAAACCCTTATTACCATCATTCTCCTATTACACGGGTCTGGAGTTATTGGTTGCGATGTGGGGTTACACGATCTACCGTTGGCAAAAATACACTCTGAGAATGTTGGTACAGCAAGCCGCCTACGAGCTGATCTTGGCGATTGGGTGCAAAACACGCAGTTAAAACAATACACAAAACAGCAACCACCCCGGCCTCAATCTCGTGACCCCACCACAGTCTGTGTAGCAGCATCGTTCACTCTGGCAGCTTAGAACACTAATTTGCTCTTAGACAATCCAGTGGCTAATTCGTCAGAAAGGGTAGCGACTCTAATCGCCATGGAACTGGTAAAAGTAGCGGTTCCTTATGAGACTCAGTGGCCTCAGAGAATACTGAAAGTGAGGTGGCAGAAATGCGTCCCAAATGCCGTATTCCGGAAAAGAAACGGTCCTCACAGAGCCTACACCGTGCTGAGGCAAATAAAACTATCTACGTTGGCAAAGTTGAGAGTTGCAGAGTGATACTTTGAGAGGAAAAAATGGCTAGCCCGAACAAACGTATCATAATGTCGACGGTTAGATGGTAGTTGGTAGCCCTCCCGGTGCCGAAAACTCCCAGCTACCTGTCTTACGGGACCGGTGGTAATAGGAGCTATACGGGTGGGGCAAATGAGTGGAGGCGTAAATGGCACTGAAAGTGTATGCCTGGAATTGACGCTCCTGTTAAAGTGAAAGCCTAATTAAAAAATAAGGTGAAAAATGCAAGAAAGGTATGGAAATGAGTATGGTTAATTAGAACGGTATGCGGAATAAATGCAGCCTTACCCCAGATCGGAAAGAATAGCAACTGAAGGTGAACAACCAATGGGAAGAAGGCAGTGCATCTTAAGGTCATTCCGCAGTATGTGCGATAGTACTCAAACCGACAGAATGGACATGAGAACACGAGAATCAAGCAGCGGCACGCAGGGCGGCATAACGCAAGCGGGGTAAGACTTTAATACCAAGAATATGTTTGGGCGGAAGAGAACATCCGCAAATAATAGTTTACTGCCACTGTGGCCACACTTAGAATTAAAACTATGGCAGTAGTTGTGTGCTATACGTTAGTGGAGAGTCGGTAGACACCCTATCTGCGCGATGGTTGTCCTTTACGTACACGATCACGCGGGACTCTGCAGAAGGTCTGGAGTAAAAATACTCAAGGACGCAGGCAAACCGACAAAACGGAGACCCGCGCCAATCCGCCTAGGATGGTAATGAGAAGCATGATGAATCATAATCCGCCTAGGATAAATCTTTCGCCCTTTACTAAAGCTATACGTGTGGGGGTGCAATACGATGAATCTATATAGGCCTTTTTGCAGCGCCTCGTTCTCGGGGCGATTAAAGTGAACAAGAAAGTCACCCTGACAGGGCTTCTGCGCGTGCACTCCCAGACATATTAAGAACGTAATAACAGCTACTAAACTCGTAGTGCCTTAAACTGGAAGTGCAGGAAAGGATCGCTAACTGGCAGGGCTACCAACTACCCTCCCGCCATGTCGACTTTTCGAAGAGCGCTCTAGAATGTTAGGAATATAATAAGTCATACTTCCTTCTCAGATGCACCTGCATCGGAATAAGCGAGCGCCTGCCGCGGCAATTATTCAATGGCAGCGTCGTTAGGGGGTCCGCAAAGACAAGTCGGACAAAGGCTTTGATACAAAGACACAACGAAGACCATGCGAAAATACGTGCAAATCAACCCTGAACCATGGGAAGGTCACGCATAGAGTCCACATTCGTGGCACACTTTTGTAAAAACTAGAACAGCTACCTTCCGCAAGTGCAACAGACCAACGACGCAAGCACTTAATCCTTCCGCTAGCAATGTGGACTGAATTCCAGTCTAAGCAGAGTAACATTGCTAACAAAGACTAGGGAGACTTAAATGGCCATTTCTGGCTTATCAGTCGTCGTCATCCAGTGCTTAGAGGCGTTGGACTTCTAACCAACAGGGTCATATTATTTTACCGACTTACTTACACACATTTTTCCAGATGCTCGAGATATTTTTAAACATTCAGCGGACAGCACTCATACTTCTTTATAAACTTCTTTCAAGACTAGTGCATGTAATCCATGATTACTTCCTATATATGGATATCAGACCTTGAACACATTAGAGTTATCTAAATCATTGTAAGAAGCCAGGATTCTTCATGAAACACTTGTCATACAAGAGTTTCGCAGAACGAAAATTGGACAAACCAAACCAGTGGTGGCTATAGCCGGCTGTGTTTAAACTTTTGGTCTGCTGGGCCCATCCGAGGACTTTATCTCTTATGAAATTCCTGAAAACTGCAGCCCTCAACATCTTAATTCAAATTAACTGAATTCAGCCATTTGCTCAGGTTGGCTAGTAGAGGAGTGCCACTTACGCTCCTAGTCGCTTTTACTCAACACCCCAATCTATCATTTTTCTCGGAATTCTTCCACTACTATATTTAATATAAAATCTTTGGAAAAATCGATAATTAAGGTTACATTTGCGCTAATGGTTCAGATCCTGTCAGAAGTAAAGTTAACAATACCTAGCGGCTTAGTGTATTTGTCTTCGGAACGCTTCGCATGATCAACAAGTTAATGCACTCCAGTAAGGCTGCGCCTCATGCTTGAATTAGTTCTTTCTGACAGGTCGGGATAAATCGTTAGGAGTGGTTGTTTGTCTGATGCTTCCTTAGCATGGCACACTGTCAATTACCGAAAATTGGAAACTTTAAGACTGGTTAGCCTCTTTATCATGTTTATTTTGCTTTGGGATTCTAACTGGGTTCGCGGACAAAAATTTCTGTTAGCGTAATAGTTAATTGGTCTCGCAACGGACTAGCCGTTTTGTCAGACAAAACGGGGATTATGAAGGCGAATGGCACGCTTTAGACACAGAGTTTACGGAACATCGGTTACTTCGCCCAAACTAATTTTAAGTTGTCTTTGCCCAGACTAAGCTTTGGCACAGGATCAAGAAGGGAGCGTAAATGAGACTAACACAATTTGCCTTTTATGCTTCGTAGCCCAATGAAGCTCACGCATTTTACGTTGTCGACCCGATAAAACTCGGTGACCGGGAAGTTGCGTATCGACGGGACAACTCGGGTTCCCCTTGATTGAGAATCCATATTGAAAACGACTCCTTCTTTATGCAGCCTCTGTACCAACACTCAACCATACGAGATCCGATCTACTAAGGCCTGACTTGTGTGTAAGGGTCCGGACACAAATGGGGCATTTGAACGTGGATTTTTCCACTCCCACCTCCAGGCATTTCGACATGGGTTTTCCACAGGAACATGGTGGGCACATGCTGCGATAGCCTCCCTAAGTATAATCCAGCTTTGGGAAAAAATAAATGTTATTTATTGAAGCAGCAGTCTTGTTTTAGATGAAGTATTGCTACAGCTGACAGCGATTTCGAATCCTACCTGTCAGAAGGGAAGGCGACTTTAAGAACCACAAGTGTTTAGTAATATCTAAGCATTATAAAATAGTGCAGTTATCTAGTAAGCACGTAAACTGGATTTTGGAAGAGTTTACTGTCTGACATGCACTAGGAAAATTTATATTCGGGCTAGAAACTCTCATCCAGAAGCAAAGTATGGTAGTTATTTCCGCCCCAATGTGCCAAGGGCACAAGGCGATCTCGTCCATGTAGTAAAGACTCTCGCGATGTTGGCCACATTTTACAACAATAACTGTACCTTTCCGTACCTAGATTCGAATGCTGAGGCTAGTTGGGCAGATAAAAACAATCCGTCGCCACAAAATGGCCCTATGGGGAAACGAGATGGCTGCCCGTTCAGCCTGATGAAACTAAAAAGGGGCAAGGATAAGGTAAATTACCGGGGTCAGAACTAGGTGACCGATGGAGCGTGTCTTACGGGAATGGCGAAAATAGGAGTTATAGGGGGCGAGGACTTATAACAAAGAGTTAGGAAACCCTGAGAAGAAAATTCGGGAAACATTTTTAAAAAAATACTATCATGGAGCTTTGCCCGTGGTAAGATAGTAAGCGGAAGCCAACCTCCTAATTAAAAAAACAGTCGCAGATGTAAAGGAGCAGGTCGTGTTCTTGTTTTCTCCGTTGGGTACCCGGACATGACGGCGATGTGGGCGGTTGGAATATGCATAGGAAGGAGCCTCTTGCAGCCCCTCAACTGCGGACAAGTCTTTTGCCTTTTGCTTAGAAATTACGGGTGGTAAGTGCAGAACAATGAGTCTACATAAACATATTCGCGGCACCGCGTCCTCCGGGGCAGTTTAGCTCAAAGAATATCATCCTGTCGGATCTGGAGCCGTCGAAGGTCGTGACTGCATTGCGATAAAAAACTCTAATGAACGTCTACAGTGATAAATAGAGTAGGCAGTCCTCGATAGTAAACCCACCCCAGTCATATACTATATCCTTACCTAACTAGGGTTATCCAAAGATAAAAGGTTGAGAAGTGCGGGCAATATTTCGAAAGAAAAGGGGCCAAAAATAAACTTACGGTTTTGACGATTTTAATTAACTACACAACGGCTACGTGAGCACCAAATGACCGCGATTGGAAGCATAGGGCGTTAATAGTCAAAAACAG